CAGACGGGTTCTGCTTCGTGCCAGAGACCGATTTCACGTATCGGGTGATGGTGTCGCATATGAGTCCCTCATACTCTTGAGGAAGTATAAATAGGCGTCGTGCGCAAATATCGCGGTCGTTGCTACCGGGACGTGCCACGAAAGCAATTCGCGAACGCAAGTCGAACAATCTAATCCGCATTCGGCGACGTCTTGATTTTATGTCTTTCTATAGTTGCACGTACAGACGAATTCGTAAAATTCTGCCTTTTGGTTTTCTCCTTATTCTTTAAAATTAGCAACAATAAATGAAGAAAAAAATTGAGTTTAATTGAATGTGTAAAAAATATATATTTATATGTGTTATTATGCTTGTATTATTGTTCTATTGTTAAGACTTTAACCATTTGAAAAATTTATTTTGAAGAGTTTGCTTTATTATTGCGAATTACTTCATAAAATGTATTATATTTATTTTTCTAAAGAAAATTATTTTTTGTTTACTCATTTGATTTCTTGTTATTTTAAGTAAATGTTGTATTATATTTATTTTTCTAAAGAAAATTATATTTTTGTTTACTCATTTGATTTCTTGTTATTTTAAGTAAATTAAATATAATACAATCTATAAAGCTTTATTTATAAGACTTTTTATTACATTTTTTTTATAATGGTAAATATGTAAGACGAACAAAATAAATTTTAATTTTTGAATATCATGAATAAAAATCAAAGAAAAATTTGTTTTGATAACACTTAATTAATTAATTTTAATGATCAAATTCAATTTTTTTCGTTACTAAGATATTTAACTTTCAGAACTAAAAAAAAAACGCGAAAGATAAATGACTATACTCGCCAGGAAAAAAAATCGATTCCAAATCAGTTGAAGAATCCCTAGGTGAAAGGATGAGAGTGGCGGGACATCCCGTATACGACTTGTTGCTCGCATCGACCCGCGATGCCACAAGTCTATCAATCACATGTTCGCTCAGTTTTGTTGTTTCTCGGCGATTAAAATAGAGAGGCGATAGTAAATTGAGTCATAAACATTGAGTCATAAAAGTAGATACACGTTGATTTCAAACAATTGATTTCTCTTTAATAGACATGAAAAATGGTACCACAAGACAGAAATTAATGTTTAATTTTATTCCATATCGAGAACAATTTCTTTAATATATAAAATCGACCATTTCAAGGCGACAATTGATGGGACATCGAGTATTTTTGTAACTCATTACATGCTATTCTGCACATCGCTTAACTTAATCGATTGCCCTTATGTTCGTCGATGTTATCGCGATTCGCCATTAACTTTTTCACCGTTTTTTTTTATTCCGGCATCGTTTTGATGACGCATTTCCGGCCCTGGGAATGCGGGTTGCGACCGATCGACCAGGAACAGACGTGGATCGTTTGTGTGTCACGGTGCCGCTTCTAGCGGTACATAGCGTGTGTACATCGGCAAGTTATTGTTATGCAATGATCGCTTTTTTGTGTCGAACGATTCGGTCTTGTGCTGTTCCACTTGAGAATCTCCGCTCGTACATTAAGAAAATTATTAAATAAATCACGGCAAACTCGGATTCAGAAAACGAAAGCTCGAGACAACGAATGAACGAGCATAGCAGCTTATTTCGTAAACGAAACGAACGATATTGCTTGATTGATTGAAGCAAATTATTCGCGTTTGTTCGCTTTTAAAATTCTTGACAGAACGATAATAGAAATCGAAACGCGCTCGTTTTTTTTATCGAGAGTAATATTAATAAGATTAATTTTAATAAAATAATAAGATAAAATATAATTCGGGAACTTAAATGTTTTTCTACTAGCATCATCGATCCTCTTGAGGCTAAACAAACGAAAATAGGGTAAAATAGGATAAAATTGTGAGTTTGTTGGAAGAACATCCGGAATCTGGTTGATTCTCACTTTGCATATACAAGTCGTTCTCTCGAGTCACGTTCTTAATGTCACACGGCTTCAATGTTACGAGTCGAGTGCCGTCCCATGTTGCACTTTTTAACGTCCGGTCGTTTCCTCGCGGAACATCGACAAATGTCAGGCCCCATCGCGCTAACCCGGATTTTTCGCTAAACCGGATGCGAGTTGCAACATCGATAGCTCTCGTCGTATCAGTTACGATTTCTCCTCCCTCGACCTCAACGCTGACCCCTCAGCGCAAATACGGCGGATTCACGCGGATACACGGCAAGTAATCTCGATCGAATGATACGTTATCGCCGTCGTCACAGTTAAATGTGGAACGAGGGAAAAGACAGATGGAAACAGAAGAGTATAAGAGACAAGAAATAAATCTGTTCTCTGTCTTGTTCGCGCGTGGGCGAATCCGCGAATCTCGCGGGGTGGCCGGCTCTCCGAACGAAAACAAGCCGTTAACGATCGGTCGTGCTCTAAAATTCGCGAAATATTTATAGATCGCAGCTGCGATCACGGGATCCGATCTAGCGGCAGGAAAAATTTATATTCCCTGGCAATATATGTGAATTTGTGAGGATATTATTTATATTTATGGCACATCTACATCCTTTCCAGATTCCAATTGAATCTCTCTCGTTTCTCGTTACGGAATATCCTTCATTATTAAATTTATATTATATTTTATTTTATATTATTTTTATTATTTGTTTTATTATTTTGTTATATTATTTTTATTTTATTATTTTATTTTGTATTATTATTTGTACTTGTAATTAGATTATAATTGCATTATCGCGCGTTGTTTCTTCTCATTCGATTTTAGAGCCTCCCTTGTATGTATTGTGCAATCCGTCACGACTGCAGCCCCCACAAGCCTACGGCTTAATGGTGATTTTAAGCGGTACCCTCGGGGGCCTGCATCGGCCTTCGCATCCGTACCCCGGGGTCGTTAAGCGGAGCGCGTAGGAAATATGCGGCGCAAACAGCTGTGAAAATTGACTTTTCGACGAAGCGTAAATGTTCGTTTACTCCACATTCCGCCGACGGATGTCTTGTTCCCGCTGCGCGAACGCTACGCCCTACGGTTGTCGATGAAACCCCTTGATTTACTCGACACCCTTCTCGTCTTCGCATCCGACTTTGTCCGGCTTGTCGGTGACTACCG